CTGAAGCAATGAGCATGAAACTGAGCAAACTCAGGAAGGCAGTGAAGGACAGGAAGGCCTGAAGCGATATGGTTCCTGGGGTCACGAAGAGTCAGACACAACTTAACGACTGAAGAACAACAACTGGGTTCAGCAACATGCATAGAGTCAGGATATTCTAGGGCTTGTTAACACACATTTTGAAAAATAAATCACTGCTTAGAAAACATTTTAAATATGAATAACAATAGTTACCTAGTTTATATGTTGTAGGTGACTGAGGATCCCAAAAGATCTCTTGCTGCATGTCAATTTCATTTGTAGGAGAACTGAAAGTTGGCAACCGCGATCTGCTCGCCTGAGTTCTCTTTGGTGTCTTATACAAAGACCTTTCTATGAAAAAACATAAGAAAGCCCAAGATTATACTATCAAACAAGCAAAACTCCTACCTAAAATGGACATTTGATGAGCTTTGGTAAAATGAAACTGTTTGAGGAAGCTGTGAGGAATTACCTAGGCAACCGGTGGTCAAACTTGCTCACACCTGCTTGGATGCCAGCCAGGCAAGTCCTGATGAGAAAGGCTTGCCTGGTTACCAAGGATGAGTTAAAGTGGACAGAGTTCTGTGCAAAATCAGCTCTCCCACCTACAGTCAGGATCCCTACCCTTCCTGGTTGGTGAAAGCTTCTAGGAAGGTGACTAGGTGCTTGCGTCAAGGTGCTGGAAAATAAATCCCTAGGGGAGCAGATTATGTATCCTGCCTTGCTTGATCCAGCAATTCAGGATAATTATTAAACCTGTTCCAAACATTCCCTTTCTTGTGAAGATTGTTAAAAAGGTGATGGAGCTCCAGTTGCAGAGAGTCCTGGAGGAAATGGATTGAGCCCATTTCATTTACATTTCAGGCCTGGGCATGGCACTGAGGTGACATTAATCATGCTTGTAGATAACCTCTGGCAAGACCAGGAGAGAGGTAGTATGATTTTCCCGGAGCTGCTTGATCTCTCAGTGGCCTTTGATACCACTGATCACGAAATCCTTTTGAACTGGCTCTGAGGGTTGGGAACAAAGAGCACTGTTTTGCTGTTGTACTCTTCCTTCTTAAAGTGGCAGTTCTAATCAATGGTAGTGGGAGATACAGGTCAAGCCCAAGATCTCTCAATTGTATGATACTACAGGACTTAGTGCTCTCCCCACTCCTATTGAACATCTATGTGAAGCTGCTGGATAAGGTCACTCATTGATGCAGGGTCAGGTATCATCATAAGACAGATGATACCCAACTTTACATCTTGGATTGGAATTCCCAGAAGAACAGGATAAAAGTAGAGCTCATCAATCCCTGCAGCATGAACAATAAAGATTATATGATTCAGCGTCCACAGTGCTTTACCCATAGGGGCACAGGTAGTGTGAAATAGGTATCTTTTGAAATCTACCAAATAGTGCTATAGATAAAACATTAAATATTGTCAAAGTAAAGGTTCAACAATGTTTCAGAACAATAATGCCAGGTTTGCTGTCTGATAATTCTTTTAGCACTGTCAAATCTTAAAGGAAGAATGCTATTTGGGGAGAATCTCACAAATAGAAAGTAATAGAAAAACTAAGCTTTTCCATCATGTGTTTTAGCCAACCCAATTTAAAATGATATAAAGAATCACTGGGATGAGACCTATTGGGAAAAAATAATTTTAGCCATAGACTAAGAACATGACCCCCTTCATGGATCACTGCCTTGTTGTGGCGAAGGGGCTTGCGTAACTCAGTGA